TTTTTTTATTTATTTATTTATTTTTTTAACATAAAGATGGTGTGACATAATCACCACAACTGTGGAACCAATAGCAGATGATGTAAAAACATGGAGAAGAAGTATACTGTCTAATGTCAAACAGAATGACACCAAACGTGTCATGAACTGGGAAGTCTAATGTTACAAAAAAATTTTTTTTTTTTAATATTCATGCCGATGTGCTGTCATTGTTTCATAGAAGTGAGATGTCATTTCATACTTGGCTGGAAAAACCATCCAGTGTTGGGTCTCTGAAGACATCTATTTTAAATTTATTTAGTAAAGGATGATTTTAAAATGTATACTACACCATTCATTTTTCTTTACTTAAATTTATTCCCAGGTACAAGTGTACTTGTTATATAGAAGGAAGGAAAATGGGCTATGCTGAAAACCTGGTCAAGGCACATGCCAAGCAGAAGGCTTGTTTTGAAGCCCTGGAGTATCTGTACAAGAACAACTGGACTATCATGGTGAGTTGTGTTACTGTCACATCCAACACATTCTACTGTCTCTCCTAACACATTTCCACTTTCACACCCAACACATTTTACCATCTCTCTCCTTACACATTTCCACTGTCACACCCAACACATTTGACTGTCTCTCTTAATGCAATTCCACACATTTGACTGTCTCTCCTAACACATTTCCACTTTCACACCCAACACATTTTACTGTCAAACTTACCACAATTCCATCCCACCCAACAAATTTTACTTTCATATCTAACTTATTTCACTGTCTCTCCTAACACATTTCCACTGTAACAATTGACTCCTTTTCTGCAGACCAAGCACATTTGTACAGTCACACCAAACACATTTTGCTGTCAAACCCAGCACATATCTACTTGCCACAACTTACACATTTTTTTCGTCACACTGATACAATTCACTGTATTTAGCCTGCAAAAATGACAGCAGACCTTTTGCGTTACAAACTTTTGGGAGTAGTGATATTTATCTGTTATGTGCCAGATCAAAATATATAAGTCTGAATCTGAAAGACAAAACTTGTCTCAATTGTTGTAGATCAAGAGCACTAACCCTAACGACCTCTGTGTGCTGAGGAGGAGTGACGTCTTGAACTGGGTCCCCACAATGCCTCAGTCTGTGCCAGCAGATGGCGCCAGGAGTGGCTCCAGTGCGGCCATGAACATGATGGCCAAGATGGGCTGGACGGGAGGAGGGCTCGGGTCCTCCGAGAATAAAGGTGTGAGAGAGAGAGAGAGAGAGAGAGAGAGAGAGAGAGTGGGTGGAAAGATTTAAGATATCAAAATTTTTTTAAAAATTGGAACCAGTTCTTATAACAAGCTGATCTGCATGTGAATTTTTAGATTCCACTAATTATAATGATTTCAAAATTTCTATTTATTTCCTCTTTTGTCGGGACATTCACTGTCATAAAGGCAATAGATTTCAATCTGTGTAAACTAAAACTCCAAAATCCATTACAGGTTTGCCCAGTGCAATCGAAGTTGCTCCGTCAAACACCTTTTCAAAGAGAGGCGTGGGGAACACCATCTACGACCGCGTCTCCAGTGATTTGATCAGCAAACTGGAGGAGCTGCTGGAGTTTTACGCACAGTGCAACACGATCGACGAAATCGTGTTTCCTGGCATCGAGTTTTCCGCCGAGGAAAAGAAAGCGGTTATCCAGATCGGCCAGAAATACGGCCTGAAAACGTGTGGCACGGAGTACAATAAGATGAATTATGTGCTGGTGGGGAGAAAATTCACGGGGTCCGACCTGGTGAAGTTTCTGGAACTTCATGGAAACTGTAGCAATAAATACATGTTGGTGAAACCTGATACCTTTCAAGTGGAGATGAATATACCCTGAAAATGATTCTTGGAAGTTTTGAAAAAAAAAAACTCATTTCGTGGAAATTTTGAAATACTGTTTAATATTACAGGATAAAAGTGGGATATAGCAACAGGAAATGGTTCTTTGGAATTTTGAAGAAACTTGCTACTTTCACCGCGCAAAAATTGTAAATGGTTGACTCCTGAAACGTTGGAAATGGCCACGATTTTTGGAAATTACGCATCGAATTACATGTAACAACTTTCATATGTAAGATGTGAATTCGAAAAAATAATCACTGGAAAAAATAACTTGCAAACATTATTTCAGACGTAAGGACAATTGGTAACAGTAGTTTTAGAAAAATGTTACACTCTCTTGATAATTCATCGGCTTATGTATGAAGCATTTAAATGTTGAATAAAAGTAGAAGAGATGATGCTTAGCACGGTAGGAGTTGCGCTTTATTTGATATTTTCTTAATTAACGTGACGTCCGATGTAGCTTTAAAAACCTGAAAAATATATCACACCAATATTCCCCTCTTGAAATAAGAATTTTGACTAGTTCATAGTTCTAAACCGTACCAAAGGGCACTGTTTGCTCTTCAGAAAACCAGAAAATTTTCAAGGACTATGGACAGGCCCCAAACCCCACACCCAGGGAGCGATGGTCGGCTTCGCATCCGAGGGCTGTCGTTCCTCCCCCCCCCCCCCCCCCCCC